GGCAAGGCCACAAAAACATTTATTTGACCGTTTTAATCCACTAACAGGGCTGCATGACATCTTGTTTCAACACAGCGTCGTGCACGATAGTCACAACACGGGAGGTACGACGTGAACTAAAGCAAAAAGAACATGCTCCAACTTTCTTGCTTCCTGATACAAAACAGTTTATTTTCCATGACTGACCCACGAGAGACATCTGTCTGATGGAACAGGATGTCCAGAGGTTTAAGGGTTCTTGGAGGTTTTATTTTCGTCATGAGACTCGTTGACATGGAGGCAAAACGAACCAGAAACAGGAGAGATGCTCTGAAAAGGGCAGCTGTAGGGACGGACTGTTACGTCAATACTGATGTTTAAAAATGGTCAAAGAGTCCACTTGGCTTCCACTTGGCTAAATCTAAGATTAAAATGCCTTGTATTAGTTTTATTCTGGTCACACTGCTGTCTGAGCTGCTGCAGTACCTGAGTGGAGACTAGAGGCGTCTCTGTGCACGGCTAGCTCTAGCTAGCTAGCTAGCTTCTACTGGAGCCTGCAAGTGAGGCATTGTGGGTACAGCTGTGTTCATACTACGCCACCAGATGAAGACAAACTTTATTTTAAGTCTTGTTTTGATGCAAACATTCGCGCACATGTAGCACAGCATGGAAATGAAAGCAGTTCTGCATTTATCTAAACAGCATTTGTTCTCTAAAGTCACTGAATAACTGATAAATAAACGAATCGTGATCTCAGTTATGATCACAGTTGTCATGATTTTGTCCAACTTTGTGCAGCTTTATTATTATCAGTATGGAAGTCTGCAGAAAGGATGATATTGGCCAAAAACAGATAACAGTTGTTGGCAGCGTCTCTACACGAGGCAACACAACTGATTTGTTTAAAACAGCACCACAGAGTTATTTATGAGAAGTGAAAAAGCCAGATCTGATCCAAAGAAAAGAAAACTATGGTGGACGTCTTGGCTGGTGTTGAACCAAATCAGAAAGGCTCCAAATGATTCAGACTCGAAAAGGTCTTCACATTTAAAAGTCACGTCTCCTGTTTTTCTGAAGTTGTTGTTGGTTTTTTTTGCAGATTCACTCCCCTGCAAAATCATCTGAATTCTACCCAAAGCAAACAAACTGTTTTGGATGCTTTTACAGAGGAAGGTTCCAAATGCAGCCCCACTGATAACCTCTCATGAATCCATGAATCTGTTTGGTTTGCAGTTCGTACAGGAGGGTTTTGCATAAAAGGCTGAAGGCCTGAAGCTGAGTCAATGTAAAACAAAGCCTGTGGCACATTTTCCCTGAACAGCCAGAATATCGTGTTCGCTCTACAGAAGCGCCTCATACCAACACCTCAGCAGAGATCCTTCAGAAAAACATGCAGCAGTGATTTTTTTTTTTCCTCCAAGGTCAGACAGACCCCTGAGAAGCTTAGACAAACACCAGGTCTTTACCGGGAGCCGGCCTGAGCGCACCAAAACAACCGTAACCCCTTCACGTCTGTGCTAAGTGCCCTTCACATGCTGCTGTGTGGACTTTAACGGCATCATAACCCCGCTTCCTCCTCACTCCTCAGTAAACTCATCACCGCTCTGCCTTCTGGGAACCGGCTGAGCGCCGCGGGTCATCCTGAGGAGCGTGTTGCACATCGGCTATCCCCTGTTCAGAGCAAATCTGCAGCAGAAGGCAGCCGGATGCGTGTATTCCCTGATGGGAGCGAGCTTTTTGTTGTTGTTGTTGAGGAAAACATCGTCCGAGTGGAATCCCTGAAGGTGTGGAGGCATGAAATCAGAGTGGGAATCAATAGCACATGATGAGAGGCTCCTAGAAGCCCGTGTACCTCGTTCACGCCTCCCATACGAAGCTCAGCTGCTTGGAGACACTATGGCAACATGTCAGGCCTCCTTGTCACCGTAGGAGACCACATCCAGGTAGCAGAGATTCATATAAACACGCAGGCAGCAGGAATCCTCAGTCCGTCTATTAGCCCGGTTTCATAGCTCTGCCCGTAATCTGGCTGCACCCTGAGGGGGACCTGCTGCTTAAAATGGAACGAGCGGGGCACAGAGTGACCTTTCGGAGCTCAGCGAAGCCATCCGCTCACTTCAGATGCAGCTGCTGTACGGAGGGGAGAGACAAACCTGATCTGTGTGGAGGGGAAACAACAGGAACTCTGATCCAGATACAGTCAGAACCTCCCTGCAGCTTCTGTCGTCGCTCCTCTAACACGAGCTGACAAAGAGTTGCTTCACAGTCAGACCTGAGGAGTCCCACCTGGCTGGGAGCTCCTCAGTGTTGCAGTAAAGAGAACAAACATGGAGAGGATCTGACATGTCATCATCTGCTCAGTCTAAGCACACACAGGAAAAAAAAACAACAAGAAGCCCTACCTGGCTTTCTGAGATAACGCCGTCTTGATGGTGTAACCTCAGGATGGGTTGAAAAGATGATCTCCTGAATTGGATTAGCGACGCGGCGGCCAGCCAGTCAGTCAGGCGGAGGAGGAAGAGGAGCAGCGGGAGGAGGAAGAAGATCTCTGTGAAGGGGTGATGCCCATGTTCATTATGTATCCCTGAACCGTCGGAACCGGAGGAAACATTTGACCCGCTACCGTCGCCTACAGCGCCGGGGCCCTGCTGGGAGCACAAACCACCGACGGAAAAATAAAAACACAAATAATCAAAGAATAAAGAAAGAGAGAGCGCAGATAAATAAGCGGAGCAGCGGGAAGCTGCAGCTGACTGTCTCCTCTGTGTTTAGCCTGACAGGAGCAGTGTTTGTTCAGCGGTCTGGTCTCGGTTCGGGCGCGCTGCGCAACGTCCAGCCGTCGGATCCTGCAACACAAACAGCGACAGAGTGCGCGGAGCGGAGCGGTCCGGGGGCGGCGTGTTTACCTCTGAGCTGCTGCTGCTGCTGCTGCTGCTGCCGAGCTCGGGAGGAAATCAGCTGCTTCGCACTGGAGGGACGCCATTAGTCTGAGAGCAGGCTTCCCTTCTGCTGGCCGACGCTGCCCCTCACAGGAGAGAGCCGCTCCTACCGCCAGCAGGCCGAGCACGGCGCCCCCTGCTGGCGGCGCGCTGCAGGCGCAGGTCACAGCACCAACATGGTAGTCAGATGTATTCATAGACGTCCATTAAAGAAAAGACTAAATTCATGATAGTCGTTCAAATAACTATAAACTGAAAAATGTAATAATAAATAAAAATTTGCTAAATTATAATTTTGTAAAATAAAACATTGCACCGCACATATTTTTGGTATTTTTTAATTTAAAAAATATGTTTCATATATTTTTAAATATATTTTTATTTTTTGTTTAATATTTTTAATGAATAAAAAATGCATTTCAAAGAAGAGCTCTGGTCTTAAGAGGCTAAATATACAGTAAAAATATAATTTTTGCTTTATATTCTTTTTTTACACTCAACATGTACATTCATTTTTTTCTATGATTTTACAAGATGTTCTGTGTAATTTAACAAAACAGGGAATATCTGTAAAATAATACTTTATTATTATTATTATTATTGTTATTTTTAATTTACATTGTGTTTGTTTATTTTACATTTTACTCTTTTTTATCTGCTTTTTATCACTTCAATTCTTATTAATGCCTTGTTTGCCTATCAATTTATTTTTATAACAGCATTTCTTCAGTCCCTGTTTTCATTGAGTCCTTCATTTAGAACATAATGTTTATGGTTGAATGGGATGAAGGGCATTGTTTTTATTGCTATTTTAAATTCCTTTTGGTTTGTAAAGCACTTTGTGTTACATTCACCTTGTACGCCTTCACGCCTTAATTAATAAAAACATAAAAACAGATTGGTTGTTTGCATATAATGATTTTTCAACACTGTCTATACATTTTTTCAGTGACTGTAATACAAAATATTTAAATTGCGGCTAAATCAGTGTAAACATCTTCTGGTTTGTCAGAACTTACTTGGTTGGATGAGGTTGAATGAGGACGGTTCTGCTGTTAAAATGCATCTGGTTGGGAACAAACGACCAGGAAGATGTTAGCTGCTGGATGCTACTCTGGTTCACGTGTTGCCCTCCAACAGATTTCACTACTGGTTGTGTGAGGTGACCAGAGTTTAGAGCTTCTGACCCACATGCAGAGAAACTCTCAGGAGACGTGGAGTTCAGAAAATGATTTTATTTACAGAGGCTGAAATGTGCAAAGATGTGGTTGATCAGGGCTGGACGTGACGTGGACGTGGACGTGGACGTGGACGTGGACATGGACGTGGGGTTTGTGGTCGGCTGGGCGGACGGGTCGTACGGAGGTCGATGTCGAGGAGTGAGAGCGGAGCAGGAGCGGTACCAGTCGTGACCAGATGATCCAGGAAGCGACGGAGAAAACCCTGGTCTGGCGCAGGAAGGCCGGTGGGGAACCTCATGCGTGGAGAAGGAGAGAAGCAATTACTCAGAGGCTCAGGAAGAAGCACGAGAACAACTCAGGAGGAGGCTTGAAGTTAACATGTAGGTCAACACTCAGGCAATGAGTGACCAGCAACCAGCTCCTTATATCCAGGTAGTAACGAGCCTGATGAATCACAGGTGTATGGAGACACACCTGCAGGGAATGAGCCCCAGTTCAGCAGGAGTTCTCCAGGACGCCCTCTGGTGGACACCTGCAGGAGATGGCTCAGAAACAGCACAGCCCAAATCCTCATTTCCTGACAAATTCTTGAACAAACACCAGAAACTATTTCAGTTTCTGCTTTAAAATGGAAGCAGAAACCTCACAGATCAATATCTCCACATCTGGGCAAGTGACATGACTTGAACCTGCTCATTTGAAACCTGCTAATAAGATAAATTAGAAGAAGCATGAGTTCTGTTGAAGTCCAGTTTCCTGCAGAGAGTCGCCGGCAACATGAGGTTCCTTATAGTCGCCCAAGAAATGTTATTAATTAGAGTTTTTGGTGTAGTTTGACTTATTACCTAAATTCTACTGTCCTATATTTCTTTTTTAAAATAAAAATGCATTTCAGGCATAATTATAATAAAATGTATTTTTATTGCATCTTTCAAAAACAAACTTCCAAACAGCATTATAACAACACAATGACAACGCAATTCCAAAATAGTTTCAAAGTCATTCAACACTGAGAAGAAAAAAAAAACTACATATAAGCAAAGAAATATAAAAGAATTAATAAAACTCGAATTAAATAATAAACTAAGGGAATGCCTTCTGTGTAAAACTGGTTTTAAGAATCAAAGTGAATTGAGAGTAAATTCAAACACAAATCCTGAGACAGTTGCTAAACATTCCTACTTCTCTCGTGTTTATTTGCATATTAAATTCTCACATCAGCTGGTGAACTGAAAGGTTCCTTCAATTTCCTGTAAATGAGTTCATGACTAAAACTAAAACCAGTGTGACCAGTTTTAGATCTGCCCTAAAGAGATGACAACAAATGAAACTTTAAATCCAGCGGTCACGGAAACAATAGACTTCATTGTGTTTTGCAGTCGCTATGCAAGAACATAAAACATATTTCAAATACAAAAACACTTCTTATACGTTATACCTTCAGTATAACATGTCGTAACATTTTTCATTGATCTTTAGTGCTTAAAATATAAAGAAAAATCTTCATTCTGTACAAATTATCAGTGCAAACATCCAGAAAAATAAGCTGCAGATCGTCAGCGGTGCCACGTTTCACCACTCCAGCTTCATGTCAGCTTTGCTCCACAAGTATTTTCCTCCTCGCTTGAAAAACATTTTCTCATCGAAGCCACTGAAGCAAATGGCCTCCTTCACACCCACGTCCAGGATGGACTTGGACGGGTCCTTCCTTCCCTCTCGGCAGTCCAGGAAACGCATCTGACGAGTGAAGGAAGTGGAAAAAGTTAGTTTGGGAGTCAGATGAGGTGAGCTGCTTTTGTACTGACAAAGAAAAACAATCTAAATGATTCTTTAGTCAAACAAGCTGCCAGTTTACTGAAGAGAAATGCGTCTTCTAACCACTCGTGTTACACCTGCTGGGTTTGCTGATGCATCTCAAAGGTATCTCTGAGGCCACACCTTAAATACTTCAACACAAAGAGCCTCTTTCAAAACATCTGAAACCGATGACTGATAGAATGTGATGCTCAACATGAAACCTAAATCAAAATGATGTCGTTATTAGTATTGAGGATGTAACAGAGAAGAGAAACAGACTTTTTCTACATGTGCTGACACACGTAGACGTTTCTGCAGCGTCTGTGTATTTTATCTGCTGAACCAGCGTCTCACCAGCCTCTGGTAGGAACTCAGATGGGGAAGCATCGTTAAGCTTTTAAAGACGGTAAATGTTCTCATTGTGGTTCCAAACCAGCAGATCATTACTCTGACTGGAGTCCAGAACGTTCCCGGTCGTGTTCTAGACTCTGCTGTCGTGGAACACCAAACCGTGTTCTCAGTCTGGAGTCAGGATCCTAAATTCATACACTGACTTGTTCTGATTCTGGATTTAGTTTCTTAAATCTGTTTAAAACCTGCAGGTTCTCGATGTTTTTACTGCAGAACGCGTCTCGTCGGAACGTCGCACATTTCTAGAACGTGGACGGTTTTTAATTTCTAGAACAAATTCCGGAGTCGGGATTCCAGAACACGTTTGTTTCAACGCATTCCGTCTGGTTCTGGAACTGACCCTGTTTTCTTTTGTTGTTTTTTTTAGATTTTGTTTCCTAAAGCGTCATCTTCTAGAACAATGATGTGTCATGTTTTTGTGTGTAATTGAGCTCTTTTACTCAAAAATGTAATAATATTTTATTTTTTATATATCCGTAAATGTAATAATGCTTAGTGTAGTTTATAAATGTTTAGTCACACATTCTTGCACAGAGAAGCAGCCACATGCACCTTTATAAACGCTATCTATTATTTAGTGAGTGCATTCTGACTTTACTTCATAAATAAATACTGGCACTTCCTAATTTCTGCAGTTTTCACTCTGTTTGCTCGAATGTTTGGCGTCTCTGAGCAACATTTTTCTTTCCCCCACCACTTGGAGGAGCATACTTCTACTTTAATACTTAAATTACTCACAGCAACCTTAGTGAAATAATTAAAAACAATATAAAGAACTTACATATTCATCCAGGATCAGGTAGGAGTTCCTCATCTGGGAAGACAGCAGAGATCACAGGTTTCAGTTTTGTTTGTCCAAAGCCTGACTTTTAATCCCAACATTATTTACATGCCAACAAATCTGCTGATGTTGTTCTGCTCCCAACAGAAAAAGTCCTATAAGCTCAACTATTACTACTGACAAGGTGAAGGATGAGCTGATCTCTGTCACTCTGTAACTCTTATTACACGTCTTCCAGTGACATGGTGGATTTTAACGAGTCAGCTCTGACTCCAGTGTGTCCTCCAATTATGAGACATCTTATCTGATTTCTTCATTTCTTGCTTACATTGACTTTTAACCCTTTATTCTGTCGTGCACACTGTGATGAGTATATGTGAATGCAGTACATGATTATTTCCCATCTATACCCTGGTGTTGTCAACAGAAGACACTCCACATAGAAGAGAGATTATGTAGAAGCAGTAACTATAAAAATATGACTGTCAGCTGATTTTAAAGCTTCATTATCTACACACACTCATATTTAAACTTTTCTACAGCGGCCCTCGCTCTCAATGCACCAAAAAAAACCATTAAAAAATGAAACTGAAAACATGCAGATACAGAAACATGCTGCATGGTGCTGAATGGAAACGCTTCCTGAGGATGCTGGGATATGCTTGGTATTGCCATGGTAACGGAGGCTGTCTCACTGTGGTGTTGACAAACAAAGTAAAATTCAAGTTTTCTTTTGTTTTGTTCGTTCTGGTTGCAACGTGGTAGCTTCAGCAGATGACATTTAGGAGTCATCTTATCATAGAGGTATAGATGGAAGATCACACATTAGTGCTCCTAATTCTGCTCCCTGACTTAGACCAAAGCTACAAACAGTTGTGAAAAGCAAACCAGAGAAAAGGCACTGCCCTAGGATGTGGGTGTAAGCTGCTCTGTGCCTCTGTTTTCCATCCCCTACCTTCTCATTAGACTCTGGAACCAGGCAGGAGACGCCGCTGTGTCTGTCCAGGAACTCCTGGAACTGCTGGTCGCTGATGACGAACCTCTCTGCCTCCCTCAGCGCCGCCTCTCCTGCGTTCTCCCCGTCGATCAGCAGACACTGGAACACCTGAACACAACGGCGACGACAGGTTGAGCGCATCCGTGACCATGCAAATGCACTCAAACTTTCTTTTTCCATCCTTACCTTCCAGCGGACGGGGTTGAGCTCCACGATCTGCTCCGTCATGTCCTCCTCGATGTTGAAGGTGTTGATGACCGAGTTGATCTTGAACGCCACTTTGTACTGCTGGCACCAGGTGCGGATCTTGTAGAGGTTGTCCAGGTGGCTCTTCTTGCCCTGAGCTCTGCCGATCAGCTGGTTGGTGTCTTCATCGAAGCTGTCACAGGAGATGGCCAGGATGTCCAGGTAGTCACCTAGAGATGGAAAACCAAAGACAAAGTGAATCAAAACGACCCTGAATCTATGGCAACAGGTACACGAAATGGTATAAAAGAGGTTGAAATACAGCTAGAAATGAACCAGTCCCAGTAAGGTGGCACTATGTTGGGATCGTACCATATTTCTGGAACCACTTCTCTTTGATCATGCTGCCGTTGCTCACGATGCTGACACTCGGCAGCTGCAGGTCCTGCTTGCAGAACTGAACCATCTTCCCCAGAAAGTCTCCCTTTTCATGCAGGAAGGGTTCCCCTCCAGAGAAGTTGATCTTTTCCATGCCTGACAAACAAATAAACAAAGTCAACAAGAGGTTCCAAACATAAACAAACAAACAAACAAACAAACAAACAAACAAACAAATAAACAAACAAAGTCATCTCTACTAGTTCAAGAACATTACCTGAGTCCTTCAGAAGCTTCAGTCCCCTCTTGGCTTCCTCCAGAGGCAGCACGAAGGACGTCTTTGCGGTGTGGAAGCAAAACCCACATTTGTAATTACATTTGCGCGTAAAGTGATAGTTGACGCTGGTTGGAGTCGTTGCGTCCTGGTCTTCACTCCGGTTTGGTTTGCTGTCAGCAGCAGCTGAGACAGCCGAGGCGCTTCCTCTGCGGGCTCCAGCCGTCCAGGAACAAACTTTGGAAAAGAAGCGCGCAAAAATGCAGTGGATGGTGCTGATGCAGAGCTGCAGGAGCAGTTTGGGAGAGACCGAAGACAACTGCATGTTTAAAGCGCGCGTATAACTCCTGCTACTGCGTGTGCACCGTGGATTTAAAGCAGAGGGCTGCAGGGCGCACCTTAAGTACCGATGAGGAGATGCGGTCAGCTGAGCGCGGCGCCGGTCTCTGTTTACAAACATCGAAAACGAAACCGAACGTGGACACGGATTCCTGATAAGATGTGTCTGTCAAGGCGAAACCTAAACACGAATTATGCCACTTAGCAGTAATGAGAATAGGATGTTTTCTAAGAATATAGAGTATTATATGAATATTGGTGATATTAAATGTAGTGATGCGCAGTAGAGCCACAAATCCTGTATTTTAAATGCACAGATAAGCATCTAAACGCATCTTTATAAACAGATGCTAATAATAATCTGTTATTTTCAGTGTATTCTTACTTTACTTCAACACTTTATACTGTAAAATCCTAACTGCTGCAGTTTTGGCCCAAACTTTCAGTGTCTCTGAGTTGCATTTTCCTGCAAGTAAATCTGCAAGAGCTGAGAGACTGTTTTCTGAACGTCACCGTGGAAGTTAAGTTTCGTTTTTGCCCTTGTTTACGCCCTAAGTTTCGTTTTCCCAGCTGCAGATTATGCAACGCCCCGCGGTCCAGCAGCTGGTGTCATCGGTTCAGATTGGAAACCGATAAGCGCGTCTGGTGCGTAAAACATGGCCGGACGCATGATGGCTCTCCTTCCGCGGTGGTCCTCGCGTGTTTTCGCCGTGGAGCTGGACGGAGCGCCTTTCTACTTTGCAGTTCAGGAGAGCCACCTGGGAGAAGAGGCGCCACGGGTGTTCAGAAAGACACAACCACGCGACAGGTGTTACTCTCTGCTCGTGTGCAGCAAGGACAGAATCAAAACAGCCCGGTTCTACGGGGAGCTGGAACACAAACTGTTGAGAGAGTTGCCTCCAGAGTGCGATTTGTCTCCCATGTCCTCATTCCTGCCAAACGTCAGGGACTCTCTCATCAAGGGCTATTTTTTAAAAGACTCTTCTGAGGGTTCCTCTCCCGTTGAGCGACTTTTGGGCGATTTAACGCAGCGTGAGCCGGTGATGGTGTGCTCATACTGCAAAGGTGAAGATGGTCAGCAGTGGACTCAGCATGTGTGGTCACATGGAGGGAGCAAAGTGATGGAAGTGGCAAAGAAATACTACGTGGTACCTTCAGAAGCACCTGAATATCATCCATCAGCTCTCAACATGATCAACTCTGATGTGTTCTACAGCCTGGAAGAGGCTCGTGATGTTTTACAAAAGGTAACAACATGCACACACGTTTCTGCCTGTTTTTCCTGCAGCATAACCTTATTTGCACAATTTGGTAAATTGACACACTCGTGTGGAGGAAGCAGGTATAGCAGCATCCACCAACAGGCCCCACGCTCTTGTTCCCTCCATTTATCTAACACGGTCAGGTGGCCCACAGCAGCATGTGTGTTCATGTGCACCGCCGTGTACGACTCCCTCCTGCCTCCTCCAAACTGATTTTGTCTGTTCTGCAGTGCGGTGACATCATCCCAGAGGCGATGTCTGTGCTGGAGCTGCTGCCCAGCAGAGCGGAGGCCAGAAATAAACCAGACTTCCCTGTTATTGTCATCGAGGGCCTGGATGCCACAGGTTAATGCTATTACCTCATAAATAAATATGTGATCGGTTTGATGTATAGATGCCTCGCTAAAGTGATGGCCGGTCGGCCTCTGCTAAAACCATTATCTGCCAGCGAGCTTCGCCTAATGGAATATCACGTATCATGACCTCAGAAAAGTTACATCACTTTGGAAATGGTTTATTGAATAGCTCGCTTATCTAATACTCTTTGCAAACCTTGTGAAAACTCGACTGTGTAGGCTGGATTGGAGTTTTAGGCCAACTTTTCAAGTGTCACTTCAGTCCCTTGTTGCGTTTAATAAAAAGAAAAGGATGGATTCTGCCTGCGGTGCTTTGACAATGTGCCCAGTCTTTGTGTTTTTTCTCTGTGAAGTGACTTTTTCTTGTCACAGGTAAGACCACTCTGACGGAGTCTCTGAGGGAAACTTTGGGGGCCACTCTTCTGCGGTCCCCTCCCCAGTGCCTGTCCCCCTGGAGAGACCGCTTTGATCAGGAGCCACCCCTCATCCGCAGGGCCTTCTACGCTCTGGGGAACTACATCACAGCAGAACAAATGGGCCAAGAGGGCAAGAAGACACCTGTCATTGTTGACAGGTAACGACAGCTGAGATGTTGAGGATGGAGTGAAGTCTGCTCGTTCTGTGACCTCTCTTTCCTTGCTAGAAGTTGTGGATCCCACAGGGCTCAAGACCTACACAACTCAATACTAACGTCTAACTAGTTGTCTGACAGTACATCCGTCCATCCATCACTCACCTCAATCCGCCATTCATTATCCGTCCCCAGATTCTGGCACAGCACAGCAGCTTATGCCATTGCCACAGCAGCGAGCGGACCGGTGTGTAACCTTCCAGAAGAGGGTTCAGAGGTGTACTGTTGGCCCAGTGACCTGCTCCAGCCCAGCCTGGTGGTCCTACTCACCCTGGACCCTGAGGAGAGGAAGAGGAGACTGAGGAACAGAGGTCAAGGAAAGACTAACGAGGAGCAGGAGCTGGATCACAACCAGCTTTTCCGACTCAGGTGAGATAGTGCATAATGTGTCCCGTACAATTTAGGTCTAACGATTACTTACTTAATCATTTAATCCATCAATTATTTATTGACAATAAATCATTGAGATTTAAAAACAGATTTTCCCCGAAACATTGAATTGATTCATTTCTTGGCATTTCATTTTCTGGCGATCGAACAATCCATCCATCGACGTACTGAAACAGACATTACTCTTCCCAAAGAGAGGGATAAAAGCTGGCAGTGGTGGAGTTTGTTTGAACTGTTTTCAATGCAAATAATCCAGTTTGAGAGGATCCTTGAATTGTAATAGAGGAGTTATCACTAAACTATTTAAACTAAAAGCCTAAACAATGTGCTGAGGTTGACTTTTTTCCATTTGTATGCTTTAGTGTCCAAATCTCCAAATGCAATTAAATATTTTAATATAGTCGGCATGCATTTAACATAATATTCTAACAATATAGACGTCTTTGGAACAGCAGATATAATGCTTACGTTACATCAATCTCATTAAGGTCCGGTATGATGACACTGTGAGGCAACCAGAGTCGGCAACAGCAGACAAAAGGGAAACAGAACCACAGCTACGTGACACATGTGCACAAATGTTTTACACTCGCTGATGTAAAAAGTTCTCTTTGAGTGCAAAACCGCAGATGGGTACAAACTGTACTGCACGTTCACAGCGAGGTCAGCCCCGTCTAAGTCTGATCCATCAAACACTTAACAATCAATTACTGTCCCATGGGGGGCGCAGCTGATGAGAAAGAGCAGGTGATTAGTTGCCGAGCTGCTGTGCTCCATTAAGCTGGTCAAAACTCGCAAGCATCGCCGGCCCAGTTAGTCGCTCCTCAGACAGGTCGATGGCTACTTTCATTCATCCTCTGTCCTGACATAATGGCCTTTCCACACGGGACAGCCAGATGTTGGGCCAGCAGAATTAGAAAGCGGAGGGAGTCGACGGCTCGCCCCTGAAAGAGTGAGAGATTCAACAGACTGAGTCAATCACTATCACGAGGACAATGATTCATTGGTCTCAGGAAATGGCTGCACCATCTGTGTTGCTCCTCACAGATGTAGTGTGTTTTACACCTTACTGTGCACCAAAGCTGTGAGCAATCACAACGCTTAAAGTTGTCCTGTGTTTATATGCTTATTTTCCTCACTCGTTGGCCGACGTGTTTGTGTGTCTTGTCTATGCAGAGTGGAGGAGGCTTATCGGAGGATCAGCGGCCCAGCTTGCGTCAGTGTGGATGCTAGTCCTTCTGCAGACCAAGTGCTCCAGCAAGTGCTGCTTTTAATTAGGGGCAAATGCCACTTGTAAACAGTTCTCCATCTCCCCTGCTGGCAGCACCAGCATCAAGTGGATGCAGTATGTCCTTTGGCCACTGGGTGCCAGTAAGGTGTTGTGAATGTGATAGTAGGAGGGACGGAGGCTGGATTAGAGTGTGGAGAAGAGATTCTGTTCACAATGAGTAAAGGTTGAATGGCCAGGGGCCAGAACCGCATGCTACAATCAGAAATACATATTCATGTAGACACACACACACACACACACACACACACACACACACACACTGAAGTATTGTGAAGAAGAAGAAGAAGTGTGCATTTAACTGCTGTTGTGACCTCTCAGAAATCAGACACTGTTCAGCCTTCAGACGCAACGTAGCTGCACTTTTATTTGGTCTGACACTGAACAAGTGGATGGAGCATTTATGTAACCACCAGAGCATTAGATTTCATTTAAGTGCACAAACAAGAACATTCAAATTAGGAAAAAAAATGTAAACATAAAGCAACTACCCAACCCAATCTGTCTTCTGTCAAGGTACTTTTATTTTGTTGAAAAAAATGCTTCTAATTAAAAGAAAATGACTCTAAACATCTGTTTGTGGTCTCTGCTGCTGTGAATTCTCCTCTAAACACCTCCCAGATAACTTAACTGTATGTACCGGTGCATTGTGTGTTATATAATTGCAGATGAACGTATGAAAACAAGTGCTTTATGCAGTGATTCCGTCTCGGTTCAGTCACGTGATTCTGACAGAACTGATGCCGCCTGTGCTCATAACCTGCACGGCTCCCGGTGCAACACTGAGATCATATAAAGCTGTTTGGACTTAATGTTCTCGTGAACACAGGCACTCTACAGCGTGCACACATGAATGTACACATGCACACCTACTTGTGTAAACACACACACACACACGCAGACAAGCATCCACATTTACTAAGAGCATATACTGTAACTCATTTATATAGGGAGGAAGTGTATATTTGGCCTATGTGATGGGAAGATTAATTGGGGGTTTTAGTAATTATGAGCTTGGCAAAGCTGCGGGCTGGAGAAGACAGAGTGACCCATCTCTTTTACTGTGATGCATCAGCAGAGCGCCAACCAATGCAGACCCTATTCATATGGCAATTAATGGAGCGCTGTATATCAATGTCATTCCAGTGCTCCCCCACATAAGCGCATGGATTACTCCTACTACCAGTTACAGCAATTCAATGTTTCACTGAGTGGAGAGGTGCTGCGGATGCAAATCTTACCATCACATGTAGTCGTATAAATTAGAATAAGGTGTCATTATGTTTATGGAGTATGGATTCCCACATGAGGTATCTGAGTACAGTTTACTGGATTCATAAGCTGCCCGGTGACTGCCGCGCGACACCAAAACGAATGTAGCACGGGCCGGCTTCGATTGCCATTAACGCGGAGAGTCCAAAATGTATGAAGCGGGAGAGCAAAGCGATTCGGAATTACGTCATATTTCATACCTGAATGCAAAGTTGTGCGTGGCCTGTGGTGTCGGCCATATTTCCCTGTCAGATGTTGTTAAGCGCTGATGTTCTTGGCAACAAAAAGTGTGCGGTGATATCATGCCATTACTGCCCCTCAACACGACTGTAATATGACATTAATGGCCCATAATCACAGTGCATTACACATGCAGTGAAATAATTCTGCACACATTTGTCATAGTGTGTTTTTTTTTTTCCTTTTGGAAACATTAAGGTTTTTTTTTTTTTCATTTGTTTTTGTCAGATATTTTTTTTTTTTTCATTTGTTTTTGTCAGATAGCCAGGATACACTCTGCTCTTTTAACAATAACAACAAACTCACACATTCACACGTTGAATGTCTGCTAAAAATATTTCAAAGTTGAACTGTGCTTTTGCAGAAAATAAAAAAAAAAGTTAATAACTAATGCAATCTGCTTCCAATCTGTGACTCCACCACCGAAGCTGTGAGATAAAAAAGTCGAAAAAGCTCAGCCTGATACACAAAGTCCACAAATATACTGTACACTTGCAAAAACAGAGGAGCACACACACACACACACACACACACACACACACCTCGCTCGGTATGGGGCCACTTTGCACTACACTCCTCAACTTCAATATTTCATCTGCACAACAGAGAAGGAGCAGGGGAGAGGAGGAAAGCCCTCCATGAAATAATTAAAGATCCAGCAGGGATGCAGCAGCACAGCAGCCGCCGTCCCATCCTAAGTAATAGATCAAATGAAAGCTGTCCCTCAGATCATTAATAATGAGTGTGGTATGGAGACTGAAGGGGTAGAGGTGGGAGGGGAATGGGAGGGCATAGGGCTGGTACAGGTTGGGGGGAGGGAGAGAGGGCACCGAGGCAGCACAAGGTGTTTTTATGTGTGTGTGTTAGGAGTGTGGTCGGGTGGTGGTGGTGGTGGTGGTGAGGGGGTTTGAATAGTAGTCTGGGTCCCCTGGCAAAAACCCCAGAGAACCTCACTTGGCAGCCACATGAAGCGGCATGGCGAGAGGAGTCATGCATATGATTTGGCACCAAGTGTCTGCCAAACTCTAAAGACCCTACAGCAATGTCTATATACATCCCTTGTCAAATAAACAACGTTTAATACAGTGAACGGACGCAGGTTAGCGGGGCTAATAACGACTGGATTATTTTAGGAGGGCTGAGGATGGGATGTCTGAGATGGGACGGGAGGTAGAGGCAGTGGGGGGAGGGGATGAAAAGAGGAGCCGAGGGGAAAAAAAGAGGAGAGGATGGTGAAAATAGAAAGCAGGGGGGTAAGGGGGTGGCAAGAATGACGGGAGATGCTGTGTGGATGTTGTCATCTGTGGGCTCAAGTCCCTCCAGATTCCTCCAGCTGGCAGGTACAGCGTGTTTCCTTTATACTATCCTCCACTACCCCCAAACGCAGTGCGTAGCGTCACCCGAGCAGCTTCAAACAGCAGCCAAGGTCTTTTCCTAAATATTCACCCGCTGCAACTTCCCTAACAAGTGCCAAGGTTGGTATGTGCAGGCATCGCACCAAAGTGGATTAAAGAGTGATTAAAATAGACTTAATGCAAAGACAAAATTCCAAAGTATGTTTTACAAGTGCATCTAAAAGCTGAGATTATAAATAGCAAATGACTTCATGTTTTAAAGGTGTTTAAATTGGAAATAATCAGATTATGTCACCGCTTGAAAGATGCACAATACAAATGTTCTGACTTTCTCTTTGACCTTTTTTACCCGCACACTCCCATAATTGCAAAAACAAACACGCCGCGCACACACATGCACACGACTGCCTCTTCCCTCTGAACACAGCAAGCGCTCGCAGACGCCCCGGCATCGCCCTCTGTGAATGACGGGTGGTGGGATGTAAAAGCATGAAGGGTGTAGGAGTTGAGCTGATCGTGGGTGAAACGTTGCTTAAAAACATACAGCAAAAATGAGGGAGAAGGCAAAAGGGAGGCAGAGAATCACTTTTGTTGGAGGGAGGGGGGGAAGAAAAGTTTAGAAAATATCCCATCATAATAACAGATGTATAATTCAGCGGCTTTTCATCATCACGCTCGGCCTTTGTCGTGAGTGTTGATTCGCAAAGACGGCGTCTCTGTCGATGGGTGCAGGTATCAGGCGCAGCAGGCTGTGTATTCATAATGCCATTATATATTCAGGTTGTGCTTATTTTCTGATGTTTTCAGGGGATAGGTTCTGTATAGTGTGTGTGTGATGATTGCATGAAACCTCACCAGTTTTGCCTGGCGGCTGTTGGGGAGGCTTCACCAGGAACGGTTAAATATTTAAACACTGCTGTGAGATCTCATTAAAAACGGCACATCAGCCCCCATAAGGCCCCTACAGCACTCCCTCACACACTCCCAAAAACCCAGTTAGAACTCGGTGGAGTGTGACAAAACAGTTATTGTCTATTTACTGTGGAGAACTTGTGATAAATCATCATATCCTGTCAAATAAGGCAGCTGGCAGTTGTGTTGACGAGTGGTAAGTCGTCATACTGGGGAGGAGAATGATTGAGACTCACTTCTGTTTGACAGCTGCAGACAAGCAGAAATATGCCGAAAACAAAATAACATGACAACTAGACCAGACTAATATTTCCATAACACACATATGAAAACAAGAGAGAGAACAAACTTTGGCTCTCTGGAGTCTTCTTGCCTTCTCACAAAATCTGGGCAATTAATTCCAACGCTATTGTTTGGGGCTTCCCTATTTTTAGCCCGGCTGCCCTCTCAAATAAATTGATTTCCTGTGGCAAACTTGGAATGTTCCTTGTGTGCCATGTTTTTTTCCCCCTCCAAACACACAAATACCGTCCTTCTTCCCCCAGAGGAATAAATCAAAGGCAGCTCTGCCAAGTTCTACACAGCTGTGTATGTGCATCTCTTTTTATACTTGAAAATGGTTTATTTTTGTTTCAGTTCCATTAATACTTAGGCATGTCTCCGACTTCATCAGGCATCAGCAGACAGCTGAGAAGCTGCTTACTTGACAGGCAAGTGGATGACTGACTCTCAAAATACCCAAACTGACTGCCTCTCTCTTTCCCTTTCTCTCCGTCTCTGGTCTTACTTTTTGATTCCGTCTCTCATGAGACACACAGGTCTGTTTTTTGTGGTCTCTACCACAGAAATAATGGCTGGGTCAAAACAGACTAAGCTCTCACATCGCAAGAAGATATTTAAACACCCAGCACTACACATAAATAAAAGTGGAGCAACTTGATCCCGGATTCTTGTAACAGTGTCTGGGGAGCCACTGGTCTTTGATGAACACTACCAAAGACAGATGCATGGCGGCTGGGGGAAGCGGCGCTTGCAGGGAAGGAAGAAATTACAACGCAGAGACTGACAAAGAAAGTGAGAATAATACTGAGGAATATGAATCATTAAGCAGAACAAATGTTTGCTCAACTTGAGTGGGACAACTCTGTAAAAGTGCGCCATATCATGGCGTACAATATATCAATTTACTTTTTAATTTCAACGCTGTTAAGTCAATGCACCAAATGCCTGCTTTGGTGTGTATTGTGAATTCACGAGTGCATTTTCTAAAACCAGATGACCAGGGATTTGGAGAGGTTTACATTTCAATTTTTGCTACCCGCTGCCGTTGTCACAGGCTGCAGCGTGAGAAGTAAAGGATTGTAAATAAGGCCTTTGGGGTCTGAAAACACATAGTGATAGAAAGAGAGAGAGCGGCAGAGACACAAATAAGAGAAACATACCACTAGATCCCAGTTCCTTATCCTAACTAAGCCATCTGAATCCCTCTACACCCATTTAGCTTGCTCACTCTATGGCTCTCCTGTGTGAGAGCTAAGGCGTTTGCCTACTTTACAGTCGTCTCACTGCACCATGGAAAATATTGAGTTTATAGCTTCTCATCTCCATAATCAACACCATATACCTAGCAGCCTACGGAAGGGACTGTGAGCTAACGGGGGAAAAGGATTCACACTGGCTTCACCTCCCGACTCTTCCCACAAGTCACTCCTCCTGCCTCCTAAACAGAGTTTAGTGAACAGTCCTCGGGGGCTGATATCAGAGTAGAAATGATTTCATAAATCTCAGACTTACT